ATATAATATTACAAATATAATATTAGTGTAAAATTCACTTATATTTAGAAAGTTATGTGAAAATATATTATAATATTTTATTTTTTATAATTGTCGTGTTATATTTTTTATAAATAATATTAGAATGTTTAAAATTATAAACTTGTTTATTAAAATATTAATAATTAATATCTAAATTATTATTATTTTTATTTAATAAGCTTAATATCGTATCAATAAATATGTTAAATATTAAAATTTATATTTATATTTTATATCTGTTTATTTCTTATCATATGAAAATAAATTTATTTTAAATTATAATTAAAAATGTTATTAATTAAAACATTTTTAAAAAACGCGCCATTAATCGCAGTAATTTGATAATATATTAAATCATTTACATAGTAAATGGTTCTAACCTAAGATTTTAATGTAGCCTAGATAACCTAGATTTTAGGTAACAATAAACAATCAGTATTATTTTTAATAAAATTATATTTATTTTACAATATAAATTTATAAATTTTTTAAAAATATAATTTTTAGTGTTAATTATATAATAATGGATTCAGTGTCTAACATACTTGGTATTGATAAAGTAAATATGAATGGAAAATTAATTTTAATAGAAGAACAGCACGATAGTAATGCAAACTTTTTGTTAAACTCTGTTATATTTAATGCATTAAAAAATAATTATGGAATATGTTTTGTTCTTTTCCATAATACAATGAATCATTATCATAACATGGGTATGAAATTTGGTTATAATCTTACATTATTAAAAGAAAAAGATAAGATTACAATTATAGAACCAATAAAAATGATTGCATGTAATATGGAATATATATATGAACCAACAAAAAATTGTATAATTAATGATGTATTTATAATTATTAAAAATGAATGTGAAAAAATGATGCAAAATAATGAATCTGTACTTATTATAATGGATGATTTAAATCATATTTTTAATTTCGGAACTAATTTGAGAGAAGCTATGTATTATGTAAGATATTTAAGATCATTGATTGAACAGTATAATACAGTTCAACTTTGTATTGTAACACATATTTATAAAGATGAATTGAAAAATTCTTTTTCTAATATATTCGCACAAACTCTTAAATATATTGCTCATTTATTCATTAAAATTGAACCTCTTAAAACAGGATATTCTAACGATATATCTGGAAATCTAATAATTAATTGGAGAATAGATAATATTAGAATAAAATATAATTGGCCGCAAATATCAAAATATATATATAAGTTGTCAGATCGTCAAGTACAAATTTATATACCTGGTACATCAACTTTGTTAAGATAAAATAAATTTTCATGTAAAATTTTCATGTAAAATTAATTTATATGTATATATATATATATATATGCTTACATTCTTATAAATTATAAATAAATTGATTGATGATAAATAAATTTACTAATTTTTTTTATATATTTTATTTACTTTATATTTCTTGATAAAAAACAATAAATATTTGTTATTATCAAATTTTTTAAAATTTTTAACTCTATAATAAATTACATGATGCAAAATGATGGATAAATAGTAATATGAATACAATATTTTCCATTAAAAATATAATTTTTAAAAATATTTGAAAATCAATTTTATATATCAACATAATTATATCAATATATAATTTTGTTTAAAGAGTTTAATATTGCATGCTTTACATAATATAGAATCATAGAGAAAAACTAAAAACATGGTATTTATATAGTTTACATTAAAAAATAAAATATACCATAATTTTGAAAAAGAAAAAATGAAAATATATTCAATTCTCATATTTCACTTTTACTAAAAATAAATATAAATAAGGAGAGGAAATGGTGAAAAAAGAACAGAAATAGAAAAAATTTAAAAATCAACAATATTTTCAGAGTGATGTAAATGAAATATAAATATGAAAAGGATAACAAGTAGTAGAAGAAGAATAGAAATAGAGTAATAATTAACTATCAGCGCTATCTTTAGTAAAATATTTTCAAAATATTTCTTCAAAATTCTCCAAAGATGACGTTAATTTTTAATTCTTATTCTATTTTATCTTATTATTAAAGATATGTCTCGAAAGATGGCATTGAAGATTAATTCTTATCATATCTTTATTCTTTTTTTATTATTTGTTGCATCACTTTGGAGGTAGTACTTTTTTGCAAATTTTTATCGTATTTCTGTCTTTTTCTCATTATTTCCTTTTATTGCCTTTTGATGATAACATGTATGATACAAAATATTAATTAAACATATTTTCATCGTTTTTTTTTCAAAATTATAATGTGTTTTAATCTATTTTAATCTTTAATAAAAAATAAAATATAAAATAAAAAATAGATAATTCGAAGTTCTCGATTTTACAATATATCTCATTACAATGAAATTCTTATGTTTATTTTCAGAAATTAATTTTGTTGTAATGTTCCTATGAATTATTATAAGTAAGTATTATTTAAGTATATATTGATCGGATTTCTGTTTTTTATTCTTCATGATAGTGATTAGACAATGTATTTTTTTCAATATTATTAAAAAATTCAGTTTGCTTTCAGTAATCATTTTTAACAAAATAAATAATCAATAAGAATTTATCAAACTCGTTATGATCTCATTAGATATATTTTATTTGAAATATTTATTATATATTAATTTCTAATTGAATAAAAATTTTATTAATATATCTATATCAAATAGACATTGAATGAAATAATATTAAGATAATTAACAAATTTTTATTTGTTTTATATATATAATAATTAATTTATATTTATATAACATTTATATATATTTATATAATTACATATTATGAAGTCAAACAAAAGACTTAATTTGAATTTATTCTCATTTTGTTGTTACAAAAGATAGGGTTATGTTTCATTCTATTAATTATATTAATTATATAGTGGAGATTTTTTTATTAATCATAAAATGGCTTTTAATGCACCTATAGATATTGGAAAATTAAAAAATTGTGTAAGTAATATTAATTTTAATTATTTTCTTTGTAAACTGACAAGTCATTTATTCTTTGAATTGCTCTATATTTATTCATAGAATAATTGTAGAAAAGTTTGCTTTCGTCCGGAGATTGTTATTAATTTTTAATTATATAATTTTTAATTAATAACTAAAATATCAAATCAAAAACACAATATTTTATTTTTGATCTTTATTTTATTTTGAAGAAATACTATATAATTTTTTAGCCCAATAAATCAATTGTATTCATACAAGAAGGTATCGAAGTCCAACATGTTTCAAGCACAATTAATGAAATCGTTGAACATGATGAAGTTCGTATCTATCCCAAATTTATTCAATTCAAAGAAGCCAGTGAAGGAATTACATGTCATCAATCTATCACTATTAAGAATACAGGCAAAAAATCGGCTTTTATTAGAATTTATCAAACCAAATCAATAGTAAGTTAAAATTATATATTTATTGTTTTCAATTGTTTAAAAAAATAAAATTTTATTAAATTTTCTTAAAAATTAAAAAAATAATTAAAAAATAAAATTTTAACACGTGTTTAATAATAAAATTTAAAAATTTTGTTTTTTTTTTCTAGTTTATTTATCTCTTAATAATTTTAGCATAAAAATGATAAATCACAATTCTTTTATCAAAAGACATTTTTCTCTTCCACACTCTATAGTTAGATCCTTCAGGATTCTTAGTTACTTCTGTTTTTTAGCAAATGATATGACCTTAGATAAGCTATCATACTTAAAGATTCCAAATTTTTTAAATAATATGTGATGCACATATATATACAACGGATATTTAACATCCGATATTTGTATCATTTCGAATGGCCAGATATTATCTAAATTTATTTATTAGAAAACATATAATTTTTTAAAAATTCTATTCAATTCTTGTTATAAATTAGTCGAAAATGAAATACTGTCGATCTATCTGCTTTTAATTTCTTTTAAAATACTCCATCGCTAACAAACATATATGCCATCAATAAATTATATTAACTTTTTTATAGAATTTTCTATATTTTCTATATTATGTTTCTATAGAAACAAATTTTATTTAATTATAACGATATTTAAATTTCAATGATAAGCGATAACATAATTATTTTTCTACAATAATTTAAGAAAATTAAAAAACTTAAAGAAATCGAAAATAATTATGAAAATATTTTTTAATTTTTATTTATTAAAAATTTTTTTCTTTTAATAAGTATCATTATATCATTGAATAATTTAGAATTAATATTTAAAAAATTAACATAATATAAACGAAACTTTAAAAATTTAATCAATGAAATACTATTATTCGTTATAATTATATTTTATAATTTAATAATGAAAATAATTTTTATTTTTCATTCTTACGATTTTCTTTTCAGTCTTTTCAAATTGAAAGTTTGAGTAAAGGAATAATATTGAATCCGGGATTTAGCATACGAACAATGGTAACGTATTCCTTTAAGCGACCATCTTTGTTACACGTAGTGATTCCGATTGAGATTAATGGAGAAATTCTTGATTATCGTGTTATTTGTAAATTATTAGTCGAAGGTATTAGTATTGAACCGAAATCAATCGATTTTGGAATCGTTGACATTGGCCATTCTTCTGGTATTAAAATAATAACTCTCAAGAACGAAGGTGGTAAAAGTACTAGGTATTAAATCTTTTATTTTGTTTAAATCTTTTGTTTTGTTTATCATATTTATCATTCATGTTATATTGTTTTTTATTTTCATTTCATATCAGATGTTAAAAAACATATGGAATTTTTTGATTAATCTATCTTTGATATCAATTCTAAATATTAAAATAAATTGGTTGGATTCTCCAAACATTTCCAGATGTTTCTTTAATACCAATTCATTTAGAAATTTTATATAACAATATTATTATATTATAATAATAAATATTATTTTACATTTTTAGTTTACTTTTTTATTTAAATTTATATCTTTTTATTAATAATTATATATATATATATATATATTCTTTTTTATATTTATATTAGTTTATTAACATTATTAATTAATATTAATAGATTTTCAATTGATCTTGGTATTAATGAATTAGAAATAACGGTAAAGCCTATGCGTGGAATTGTCCGACCTAACAAACCAATTCAGCTTACTGTTGAAATAATTGGTATAAATGAAGGAACATTCGTCAGTGAATTTTGGTAAGTTTTATCATCATCTTTTATCATAATCTTAAATACAACATTGCTATAAAATAATGCATTTTTGAAAAACTTGGAAAAAAATACCGATTAAATATATTTGTTATATATAAGTATATATTTACTGTTTTTTTAACAAGCGAATATTAGTATATTAGCAGAGAATTGCATATAATGGAGATGTTCGCTATATTTGATATAGTTATTACAATTTGATAAATATTTTATATTTCTTTCTAATCAAGTATAATGTATGGAAAATTATTTAATACAATTAACAAAAATTGTTACAACAAACAACATTTGTTTTTTTCAGGATCAAATCAGTTCCGAATATACGTGTTCCTTTTAATATCAAAATAATCATACCGCGATTAATAATTTATCATCCAAATACGACTGGAGATTTCACATTGATCGATTTTGCAAAAACAGTTGCTAATACTCGAAAATATGATTCTTTTGTCGTTCGAAATATTTCTTCTCAAGTAGCGAGTTATGTCGTATTAGGTGAAATTGATAATGAATTTGTATGTGTGCGGGTAAATGTTCATTTTTTTTAACTATTTTTATTTTTCAATGAAAATTTAAAATATTAATTATTATTTTTTTTTATTATTTTATATTAAATTTATTTTTTCATTATTCGTATAATTAAGTAAATTATTTCTTTATTAATGTATATTATATTAAGATAAATAATAGCTATATTTATAATTTTGTTGCTGTATCTTTAATATAATTTTTAAAATAATTTTATATAATTTTTTATGTTTTTTAGAATATTGATCGTAAAAAATATCCTGTATATAGTGTTTTTGAAATTCGACCGACTCAAGGTCGTATTGGACCATTTGAAGGTATTATTTTTGAAGTAGGGTAAGTTAAATATATTTTATAATGCATATTTTATTATTTTCAAATAATTTCATAATAGCATAATGTTTTTTTAAATATTTCTTTTAGATTTTATATTTATTCATTAGTAGATGATATTAATATTTTCGCTGTTTTCAAATGAATATTTTTATATCGAAACTTATGTTTCTTTTTTTATATATGTATATATATTTATATCTATATTTATTTATTTATTGTGTCTATTGTATCTATATATTATATCTAAATATATTAATTTACAATGGGAAATTATTTAATAAAAAATGTAATTTCAGATTTACACCGATAGACAGTTTAATTGAATGGCGAAAAACAACGGAAAAAAGTTCGAAACAAGAGAAAGATTTTATGGCATTTTTAAGAATAGTCAGAGTACACGTTACAGAAACGAAACACATATTGAGTGTGTTATATTTTCTATGTTATGCATATTTTCCGTTTTCCATTTGCTTTGTAATATATTTAAAATATGAAATAATTAGTTTTATCATAAATAAGTGTAGAAGATGTGGAAAGTGTGCGAGAAGAGCTAAACGAAGACTTACAAACTACTGATAATCACAAACGTTAGTTATTTTATGTATATTTAAGTTAAATATTAAAAACTAAATACAAAATATAGCGCCTATATTTTAACAGAATATGTGCCAATGCCTATGCACGATAATTCTTCGTCTTCGTCTTCGGAACCGAGCATTGATTCTGATCTCAACGACATCGTAAGGCTTTGTCTTCATGGAGAAACGGAAGTTGCACGTTTATTCTTCCAACCAGATATACTTTATTTCGGAGAACTTTATGTCGGTGAAAATTCACAGCGAGTAGTTCGTATATCGAATCCATTAAAATTTGCACCTCTGTTTTGTCGCTACGTGCGTAACGCATCGGCTCATTGCTATCCAGAGACAATTTTATTAAAACCAGAAGGATCTATAGAAGTACTTTTAAAAGTCCGAGGAAAAGAAAATGGTATACATTCTTTTTTTTATTATTTTTTTCTTAATTTTTTGGTTAATCCAAGCGAGATGATAAATTATTATATATCGAAATTCATTGTAATTTTCGTATTTTAATTCACAGTCAATTCATCATTCAAGATTTATTTCGATATTGCGGCTGATTCGTGCGAATCGATGAAAACTAGACGCCAAACGAAAATCAAAGTAGGAAGATATTCAATACAATGTAGAGTGAATGTGAAACTATTAGTTACCACAAAACAATCATGCATGACACGTGCGATAAGTTCTTTTGAAGAATATTATAAAGGTAATTGATAATAAAATATATATATATATATATATAT